CGAATCTAGAGTTGAACTCGAAAGTGGGAATTCTAGATTGCATATAGGATTGAGTAGAGCAAGTTCTTGAACCTGGGCCTCGGGGAACGGATTCGCGGTTAGGATAGACATATACGTAATTGCCTTGCTTGGTTAATTTACAGGAATTATAAATGCGTTCTTGTTGATTCTAATTCCATAGGCATATAGGAGTTAGGTTAGCTTGAATAGGCGAGTAAGAACTCGACAGATTCTTATGAGCAATATTAACCCTGTCAACCAATAAACTAGATAAATTAGTTAGTCAATTCAATTGAAGAATACAATAGGAATGTTAGATAGCCCATAACCCTAGATCGTTTTCATTACATTGATAATATAAAAATCTGCTCTTCCTCTATTCAAATTTCATTATTTGTTTTTATTATTTTAATTAGTTTAGAATCAAATACTTCTAGGTTTAGTTCTTGTTTAGATAATTAGGATGATCTAATTTAGTTAATAGTTAATCACAAGTCCTCGTGGGATTGACATCCGACTTTTAGTCACTTTATTACTTGACGACCGCGTATACTTGCGTGTGCGTTTGGCCGCAACAAGTTTTTGGCGCCGTTGCCGGGGACTTAGAAATTAACTATTTTTCTAGATTAGACTTTAAATTTTATCCTTTTTTGTATATACTTTTATTTTTACAAATATTTGATATTTTTCTCTTAGTGTGTTCCTAGTTCTCTCAGCATGACATCTGGGGATGAAATATACGGAGGTAAGGCTATTGATGAAGACTCTTGGTTGACAAAAGACTTTTATGGCTCGTATTTTTTGTCTTGTCATGGCCTGACTTCTTGGAGGTCTGAATTTGAATATGGGAGTAAGGGTTGGTATTGGGAAGAATATTCACGATTAAGGGAATATGAGGAACGACGTTGTCTTCTAACAACGTTGGTGAATGATTGGTCTAAGGAGAGAGATGAACTTGCACATAAAATTGATAATTTTAGCTTGGCTGTGCATAACTTAGATGCAGATTTTAGCACAAAGGTTGATGCGTATAACGCCCAACAATTTAATAATGAGTTGTGTGAAGCTGAAAAAAATCTTTTATACCAAATTGAGGAGCTAAAACGAGAATACCAATCACTAAACCATGTTTTTCTTGATGATGCCAATATTGAGAAGAGTGCTCTAGAGTCATGTGAGGGAGTAGATAACATTACTTTGGGAGACTTGAGTGCGTATATATATGGGGATGTAAATAATAGTACAATTCATGAGTTAGAGCGCATTAGACCTCATTCCAATCATTTTTCCACATTGTGTTTAGATAGAAAATAGTAAGATAGTAATCGAGCCATCTGAGCCAATGAAGGTGTCAAAGAGTGAGGATGAGAGTGCCTATATTCTTGAATTTGTTGTGCCATAGAGCAAAAATTACATTCCTCATCTAAAGGCCGAGAGGTGCAGAGTGAAAAATTTATTACTTGGCCTGGTTATCTTTGTAGCCCAACCAAAGGTGAATAGCCACAGACTGGATGCCATGTTAGGGGTACAATTCATAAGTTCAAGGTGGAGACAAAAATTGGTTCAAGTCGTGCCGCGACTTTAAATTAGGGGCTTGTTGGGAGGCAACCCAATTTTATTTTTTATTTTTTCTTTTGTTTATTTTTTTTATTGTGTTATTTCTTTTGTAGTATTATTTTTGTATTTTGTAGGAGTACGAGCATGGAATCAAAGCCAGGAGGCATGGGCAAAAGCGAGCAGGTGGTTGAAACTAAGTGTGAGGTACCCGCACAAGGGATCATACAAGGGAGAAGTCTGAGTATCTCGTGAGCTGCTAATTCTTCGGCCTTTGGCCTACCAGGGAGTCTCTTTTACCCTCTTGTTATTTTTAGTGTGCATTGAGGATATTGCACAATTTTAGGTGTGGGGTGAGGAGATTGTCTGGGTGATTTTCTGTGCTATGTTAGCTTAGTTATAGTACTCGTTCTTAATGTAGTAATTTTTTTTTTTTAAAAAAAAAACTAAAAAACGAAAAAAAAAAATTTTGAAAGATTTGGACTTTTCCCGACGATGGATCTCCTAGACAGTTTTCTTGAGGGATAAAAGTCTAAACAAAAAAAATCCAAAAATATGCCTTTTATTTTCTTTAGGTAATAATAATCCCCCGTGGTTTTTCTTTGTGCCTTGGTTCTTTTCCATGGGATGTAGTTTGAACCGGGTAGTAGTATTTTTTTATATTTTTAGAGTAGATTAGAATTTAGGGAATAAATGGAGGAAGAATGATGAACCTAGACGCCCTTGACTTGTTTGATAGTAGCATATTTAGGCTTTGGCATGTGTAGTATCTTCCCTATGATTTGAAATTATTGATGATGCCTTTCTTAGTTGGATAGCATGTCTTGTGATGCCCATGTCTCGTTTTCTTGACTTATGTTCACTTTGTGATTCATGCTTAATATCTCGTGGCTCCGTGAATACTTGCATTTGTTTGAGAGTCGGAATGAGACCGTTCTTAGTGAGTCATGTGTCATGTGTGGTGAGATTTTTGTATAGTCTATGTATTGTACTTGTGTCTAGAACTTGCCCGGTATGTGAGTTGAAGCGAAATTTTAGGTGATGTTCGGTTTGAAAAGTGACTTTAGGCTTTCTTTGATTTTTTTTGAGCTTTATTGCTTATCACAAATAAAATCTATCCCTAGTTAGCCCTTTTGAGCCTATAGACTTTTATTTGGCACCCACATTACAAGCCTATACCCTTTTTATTCTTAATTGATATTATTTTGATCCCTTTTCCTCTTAAAGCACTTTAATTGTGAGATGAGCGCTAAAAGAAGTAAGAAGGAACTAAGTGTGGGGTGACTTTTGTGAGGGTGAGCGATATTTTCTTTTGATATATATGAGTCCTTAAAATATATTTGATCATTAGATTCGAATGTATGGATTCAACTTACTCTCTTGCCTTGGTTGTGAGGGCACATGGTTTCACGAAGGATAGGTAACATTATTAGACTTCTCTAGGATGTTGGGTGTTCAAGCCATGAGTGCATTGTGACATTGAGTCGGTTTTTGAGGCTAGGATAGTTGTGAGCATATTGTCTTTGTTTCAATATTTTTGAAGAATGACATAAGTAAAGGGAAGTGTATGATGATTGCATATGCTAGAGTTTAATTGTTGCTATCAACCATAATCATTGGTGTAGTGTGCTTCAAATATGTTAAGTGCTCATAGATAGAGTAAATTTTTGGTTGACTCGAGGAGGAGCAACGTTTAAGTATGGGGTGTTGATGATATGCTATAATTACGTATTTTAGTCGATTATTACACTCTAATTTACTACACTTTAATTGAGTTTGAGCTTTAATCGCTAGTGTTTTGCACTAATTGTATGTTTTATGCCTTGTAGGAGTGATTCCGAGCTATATAGATGTTATGGAATGAATTCAAGTGATTTGGAGCTTTAAAGTTTGAGTAAAAGTTCAAGGAATTAAGCCGGGATCGTGTTTGGGGGTCAACGGATGATAGTTAGAGCGAACGAAGACTCCAGTAGGCAGATTGCGCACTATCTAGTAAAATAGACATAACTTTTCGCTCAGAACTCTATTTTGGCTCCACAATATATGGTTGGAAAGATAACTCAAAGGGATACAACTTTCATGTTTTACGTTTTTCAAAATTCAGAACGGAACAGGGTGAAAAATGCCCAGATGCGCGGCCGCGCTAGTTTTAGCGCGCCCAGAAACAGAAAGTCAGCCAATTAGCGCGCCCAGATGCGCGGTCAAATGCGTTGCAGCGCTAGTTAAGCCGGGGAAAAGTGTCCTTTTTCACATTGGAGAAGGTATAATTGTTTGGGCCTAACCCTACTTGGTATATATACATAGGAGAACGTTTTTTAGAGCAATTTTTGACCAAGGAAGAGCACAGAGCCGCCGTGGAAGCCGGGTTTCATCTTTTCTTCCATCCAACTTAGTCTTTTTATGTTTCTTTGTATGATTTGTTGTTTTTCTACCATGTCTATGTGGAGCTAAACTTCACGTTCTAGGGTTGTGGTTCTTTCATGACTATTGTTATTCGGATATTGATTTTGATTGCTTAGTTTATCATATTGGTTTATTTATTCAATCCTGCACTTAATTATTTGATTGCTTGATCACCAATTGAATACTATCTACGAATCTAGAGTTGAACTCGAAAGTGGGAATTCTAGATTGCATATAGGATTGAGTAGAGCAAGTTCTTGACCCTGGGCCTCGGGGAACGGATTCGCGGTTAGGATAGACATATACGTAATTGCCTTGCTTGGTTAATTTACATGAATTATAAATGCGTTCTTGTTGATTCTAATTCCATAGACATATAGGAGTTAGGTTAGCTTGAATAGGCGAGTAAGAACTCGACAGATTCTTATGAGCAATATTAACCCTGTCAACCAATAAACTAGATAAATTAGTTAGTCAATTCAATTGAAGAATACAATAGGAATGTTAGATAGCCCATAACCCTAGATCGTTTTCATTACATTGATAATATAAAAATCTGCTCTTCCTCTATTCAAATTTCATTATTTGTTTTTATTATTTTAATTAGTTTAGAATCAAATACTTCTAGGTTTAGTTCTTGTTTAGATAATTAGGATGATCTAATTTAGTTAATAGTTAATCACAAGTCTTCGTGGGATCGACATCCGACTTTTAGTCACTTTATTACTTGACGACCGCGTATGCTTGCGTGTGCGTTTGGTCGCAACAGTCTGTTCCAAAACAAATAACACATTTCTAAATTTGGAAATAATTCAACTTTAAACTCTTTCATTTTACCCATTTACCCTTAATGAGAAGTTTTTATAGCCACACAAATGTCATGGCCCCACAAACCTTTTACCCCTTAAACTTTTAAGACCACAAATTTCAAAAGTCTTTTCTTTTTTCTTAAACTCCGTGCATCTAATATGACACGGGAGGGAGTAGTTATTTAGAACACACTACTGTAAATTCGAATAGGCTCCTCGCCATACATATCATAATTGGAAGACAAAGATCTGTTTCGAATAAGAAATTTTCAGCAACAACATCAATTCATTTAAAATGCAGAAAAATATCACCGTGCAACTGTAATAAATTATTCCAAGTGACAAGAAAAATGTCCTAAAAGAATAAAGTGAAAAGTGAAACAAACTAGGGAAAAAAAGAATGAAGAATCCCAATTCTACTACATTTTCCTCCTCCCTGTCCAATCGTATCATTTCTATTCTCTCACACAGAAGCTTCAATCCTAGGCTGAAAAGTGAAAGCACAACTGAATTTCCTGTTATAGCCATCAACACTACACGCAGGCAATTCAGTCCATTCATTTCCAACCAAATTGCACAAGTAATACCTACAACTCTCATCAACAGCATTAGAAATGCACACAAATATCTGTTCACTATCTCCTCCAGTGCAGTTGATATCCACTTTTTTGCCATAAAATTCATGTGAAATTGCAGCCGGCATTGCCAAAACCTGATTCCAAATCCAACTCTTCTCATCAAATTTCCACACTCTCAGACTTGCAGTTTCCAAGAATTCAGAGAGCACAACCACAAGCAACTCTCCACCACATTCAACAAAGTCAATAGAATACTCATGACTAAGAGGGAGTAATCTTGGGTACTCAAAAAAGTACTTTCCAGCAAAATTGCAAACCACAACTTTGCCATTGGAGTTCAAGAAATACAGAATTTCTTGGCCAGTACAACCATTCTTGGTGATTATTGAGGAGTACTGTTTACATGGGGTTTTTTGTATTTCAGTTGCTACTACATTGCCACATTTACCCAAGAAATACAGCATTCGACCATCGTCGTCTTCTTCTTCATCAGTACTGTAGGATTCAGCTGCAGGGCAGCTCAAAGATTTTCTACTCAGAACTGCAGATTCTTCCCAGAGATTTGTCGTGGAATTGTATACTCTGAAAGAAAGATTTGGACTTTCTCCAAAAACCAAGTAAAGTTTATATGATTCTTGAGTGGAAATCATTCCTATAGCACAAAGGGTATTGCAATAATCCACTGAAGAGAGCTTGCGACAAGAGGAATTAACGGGGTTGAAAATGAGGAATTCATGCTTTTCACTATTGTGGAAACAGAGAAGTCCACCAGAAGCAGCAACAGGGAGGAAATTTGAATCATTTTGCTGATGTTTTTCAAGAAAATTAGATGGGTAAGTGAGTAATTTCTTCCAATTCATTTCAGAAGAATCGTACACAAAAGAAGATGATAGTGAAGAAGAATCAACCATATAAAACCAAGGGTCTCTGGATGTTATTTGAGAGCAAGCTATGTGGAAAGTAGAGGAAGTAGCAGCTGATTTCCACCTTTTGCTAACTGAGGTTAAGCGGAGAAAAGTGGAAGTTGGTAGCCATGAAAGAACCTTCTCAAGAAGATCTTGATTAAGCTCATCAAGTGGAAAAACAAAATTTCCTCCATCTTCTTCAGGTGATTTCCTCTTCAGATTTCTTCTAGAGGCCATAAGAAAAGAATGAAGAGAAATGGGATTGGGAAGAATGAATAACTTAGTTGGTATATAGAGAGAGAAGCTCAAGTAGTAGTTGTTTTATATTGTGGGCATTTGACATGGGGGTTGGACTTGGAATGGGAAGAGATATAAAGGGTTGTAAAAGAAAAAGAGAGAAAAAAAGGGGAGGTTAGGGGGGTGTAGGGAAGCTTCGTAAAGGATCTGTTTTTTGTATTTTATTTGCGTTGACAATTGAGTAAAGGAAAAGAGAGTGGGACTTTATAGTGTTGAAGATTGACAAAAGGAGCAGCCTGGGAATTGTTTGTGTTGCATATTGACAAAGAGCATCACCATCCAAGGGTTGGTTTCCCTGTTTCTTACACATTAGGTGGCTATTATCCATTTATGATTTTAGATTTGCGACGTGTTTTATTGGGTAATGCTAACATTCCGTCTATGACAAGGTCACAAGAGGGCTGAGGTGGCTCGAGTTGGAATCATAGTCGAACATGACGCTTATTTGTGTGCTTGATTAAGAAATAAAGTTACACCTGGGAGTGGCAAACGGACGGGTCGGGACGGATATGGTTCGGGTCGAAAACGGGTAATGAAAAAACGGATCAATTATCCGACCCGACCCATATTTAATACGGATAAAAAAACGGGTTAACCGGCGGATAATATGAGTTACCCATATTGTCCATGACTTCTTGTATATGGTCACTTTTGGGAGAATTCTTAATCTCCCTAACTTGAGGAACCCCCAATTTGAGGCTTTACAAATGAAAAAGTTAGACCATTGGTTATCCATTGGTTATCCATTTTCTAAATGGATAATATGGTTCTTATCCATATCTGACTTGTTTTAAAAAGTTCATTATCCAACCCATTTTTTAGTGGATAATATGGGTGGTTAACTGTTTTCTTTGAACCATTTTGCCACCCCTAGCTACACCCTTGCTATCAATTGTAACTTTTGGTATAATGATAAGCGCCAGATCCTAACACGTTTATCTATTTATAGAATTCGACCCGAGATATCTATTCCTGACAAGTAGAATAAGTATTTAATGATAAGGTAAATATTTGAATTTTCTTTTTGGGAATATTTTGTAGACAAAACAAATTTGAGAAGTGAGATAGTCTTGATGATCAAGAATCTCATAACGACTAATTTCTGATTTTGTCTTGAATAAAACTAGCTTTAAGTGTATTTCTTCCGTCATAAATATTGTTTAAAGATAAGGATTTCGGTCTGTTGTTTCTATAAAACTCCTCTTCAACAAACAATATCTTGATTAGGGCCGTTCAAAATCGAATCGAAATCGTTAACCGAACCGAATCGAAGGCTTATTGATTTATTGGTATCGAATAATCGGAGTAATGGATGGTGAACTGATTGAGATTTTATAATTAACAGCTTAACGTTTTGGGGGTGGATTACTCAATTTTCTTATCGGGTAAATTGTTAACCCGTTAAGAATTTTTATATTTATACTTTTACCCCTATGTATATAAAGTACTATTAAAACCTAAATGGCTAAATCTCTAATTTCTAATTCTCAATAGAACTGTCGTCCGTTTTTAGCTAATGGCATTGGTAGTCGTCTTTGGCTTCTAATCAGGAAAAGCTACTACAACTAACAGAGACAGTTAGAACTATGCATTTGGCCGTGTGGTACTAATTGTTCAAAAAAAAAAATTATTTGGTTTAGCCAATAAACCGCCCATAATTGTCAATCCGATACCAATATGCTTGTTGTCTTATTGGATGGCTTGCGGATTACTACATTTATAATCCGATAACCGATAAGCCGAACCGTTAAGCATAATTATCCGTCCGATACAACCGATAAGCACCCTCTAATCTCGATCCATTTGAAGTTCTGAACCATTTATATATGTTAAGTTTAATTAGACTTACATTTCATGATAAAAAATAAAAATGAAATCTATGAAAAAATTGTGTATAGTACTTATATTTGTCCTACTACGATTAAGACCAGCGTAGAACTGTGCAGCTTTTGTCTGTTCTCTTTATAATGGAATAGAGAAATTTGACCTTTATTGCAACATCAAGAGTCCAATGTAGTTGAGAAAGTAGGTTTTACAAGAGACAATTAACATAAAAAAAAAATTAAAGAAAAAGAAAAGCACATGGACACAGAGCAAAAGAGGGAGAAAAAAGGAAGAGTGAAATTGTTTAATAATATGTCACGAGTGGGCTAAAGAAGAAAAAAGCAGAAAAGCAAAGAGTGGTAGCTAATGGTAATAGGCCCCACCATTGAAGAGAACCCAAACCAAACAAGGAAAAAGATAAGTCCGATTTTACTATTATCTCGTGGGAATCACCGTTAACAAGGCGCCGCTGCCTTTCTGACTTTCCATGGAAAAACAACACCGCTAAAAATGAAGCGCTGACTTGGGCTTGGCGGTGGTTGGGAATTGGGTTTTGGGTGGAGGGGGGAGGGGGTACCTATGCTTTCTTTTTTCATCTTCTCTTTTATTTTCAAAAAATAATTTCCACTGTGTAAATCAAAGTATATATCGAACACTACCTATGTCCTATAGATCATTTTGCATTTGAATTTTGTATTACTCCTTTTTTTAATACCATTGTTCTTCTATTTCTCTCCCTAGAATTCCTACGAGTTTATTAAATAATTTTTTTACCTAAATCATGATCAAAAGCATTTTCATTAATAGTACAATAATAAAAATAATTATTTAAAAACTTTTTTATATGAAACCAATTGCGCGCGCGCGCATACACACACATATATATATATATATATATATATAAAATTACATTTGGTTCTACCAATCACAAGTTTTAGAATTAAAACTACTCCCCGTTCTAGTTTATACATATAGTATATTCTTTTATAGTCACATAAATATTATGACATATTTTAAAGCGCAAGTTACAATTTTTTTTTTTATCTTTTTCTTAATATCTATACTAATAACCATGTCACGTAAATTAAAGCTGAAAAAAATAGGAGTAATATTTAGAAGATGTATCATAAAATTATAGTGAAAGAAAGATAGTTTAGGCGTAATAGACATTGTAAAGAAAACTTCAAGTAATACACGCACAACATAAGTTATTAGGCGTAAAAGTTGCAAATTAAGCCAAATCTATTAAACTTTTAATGTATTATCTGCTCCTCCTTTTTGACCAAAGAAAAAAGATATTTGTATACTAGATGTAGTGGCAGAGTGAGTACAGAAAAGATTATTGCAACCTCAAGGGTTTTGGTCTAATATTAGGGAAGAAATGCTAAATTATGTCGTTTGTTCACAGGCAAAGTCTTTAATTTTACCGAAAAGGGTCAAAAGTACCTCTATCGTTTGCTAAATAGTTTATAAATACCCTCCGTCCATCTATCCGTCCAAAAAACACACGACGTTATTTTTATATCTAAAAGTACTCCTCTTTTTAAAGGTGCAGCACGTGGGCTCCACGTCTAATGTGTTGTCATTTTTTTATTGCGCCACGTGGCTCTCGTTCAGAATCCAAATACTTGCCCCTTTAACCAAACCCCGCCCAATTAATTGCCTGACCCATTATTTTCTTTTTTTCTTAATCTTTTCCCTTTCTCTTTCTTCCTTCTTCCTCTGATGGGTTAGAAAAGAGAAGTTTTGGCTGGTTGGGAATCAGATGGGTAAGAAAAAATGGAGACGATCCTTCGATGGGGAATCTGCCGGCGACTGCTCGTGCGAAAGCCCAAGTTTAACCATGATGTAATTTGTGGAAAAAATTTCTATTACCGGTATAAAACCATGATGTATTATCTCAAATTTTTTGCTATGTAATTCTTGTAGCTTTCATTGAGAGCCACCATCCTACGAAGATTTTAACTTCTGATATTCACGGTGTAAAAACAATCCATAAAAAAGTTGACTTAATAGCTAAAAATTATAAGAATAAAAAAGGTTTTCAAGCACACATCGTGAAACATAATTTTACTTTCCTGATCTCGAAGCACCGACGAGTGTTTTATGGAAGCCATGAAACACAAATACATTTTGCTTGAAGTACATAAATGTAGCTAGAAGAGGCAGAATCAACCGGTTTTAGTAACCCGCCCAGCAGTTTTGTTAAGCCCTTTTTGTTTTGTAGAAGCCATTTTTGTCAATACTGCAAAGCACGGAAAAATGGGTAAATGGGTCGGACCAGGTAAATGAGTAAAAATAAGACCCATATTTGATTCTTGGTCAATCATGCCACGTGGCCCAATTAAAAATTGCCACGTCATTAAATGAAAGACCCACCAATTTTGCCGTTAGTCGCGGAGGTATTTTTGTTAATAGAATTAACGTCGTGTGTTTTTTTGGACGGATAGATGGACGGAGGGTATTTATAAATCATTTAGCAAGCGATGGGGGTGGTTTAGGCCCTTTTCAGTTAATTTTATTGGCTTTGACTAAAGAAAAAAAGAGGAAAATATTATGGAAAAAATAAAATAAGAAGAAAAGAACTAAAGCCAAACCTAACATTTCTCAATTCCAAGGAAAGCAACTCCTTGCCTGCAGTTGAGGAGGAATCTATGCCTCGTGTTCAAGTTCTTTTTAATGTGTACTTTGGTAGTTGTCTTTTGGTTTTGTCCATTCTGCTTTAAAGTCAAATACTTAGACGATGGAATCCAAAGCCAACCTAGAATTTCTTTTCAATTTCTCTTTTTATATGGATCAATTTATTTATTTGCTTTTGTTGGTTATAATTGACTTTGGATGCTCGATGCTTAAGATAAACAATAATATTACTAATTGAATATGAATAAAGCCGTCAATTACGATATCTTTTTTCTTTTTACTCTAAAAAGACTATTTTTCTAATGTGTTATATACTGTTTTGCTTTAGCTTGGGGCCATTTTGGGCGAGTTTAAATTAAGAAATTTTTTAATAGTTGGCTTGATGAACCTAGTGCCTAATTATTTCAATTTAGCTATTTGATCAGGTATATCATATTCCTTTGACAGTTTCTTTTCCATATTTAAGATTCCAAATTTCAGAAGAATTTGAGATATATCACTAACCATTGAAAACCCATTGATCGTAGTTTTTTAAAAGGTTACAGCAATTTGAAACAACGCGAATACAAGTGAGTGAATAATTTTGAAAAA